ATCCTCACCTTTAACTGTTGCGTTTTCACTTCTCTTAGAATAAATCATCACACTTCTCCATGATTCTGCTTCTGAGCTATTGACCAACACACACACACACACACACACACACACACACACACACACACACACACACAGGTCCGGTGCAGCATCATATCTTGTGGACAGAGATATGATGTTGTTCCTGAGACATGCTGGGGCCACTCGCCTAGCTTGAGGGCCATTGCACCGACTGGTTCGATTACCACGGGGACCACCGTTACCTTCACCCTCCACATCTTCTCGAGCTCTTCTCTGAGCCCTTGGTACTCCTCCAGCTTTTCGTGTTTCTTCTTCCTGCTGTTGCTTTTGATTTTTACTGCTGAGATATCTTTGAAGCATTGAAAGGTTACTCACGGTTTATCATTATTCAGAGTCTGGCCTTCTGTGAAGGAAGATTTGAAGTTGAACATCACACACACACACTCTCACTATTATGCAATATAAAAAGTGACATACACTTCTAATTTCAATAGCAAGGCACACTTACAGAAAACAGTAAAGTGTGAAATTACTGCCTACGTTAGTAAACAGTGGTGCCAACTGGTGGATGAATATAAAAATGAAATAGTTAAAGTGAGTAGTCCATCCATCTATCCAATTTCCTCTGCTTATCCTGGGCTGGGTCCGCATCGCTCCAGCTGCAGCACCACTGCGTCTGTTGATCCCCTGCTCCCATCACTCGTGAACAAGACCCTGAGATACTTAAACTCTTCTACTTGGGGCAGCAACTCGTCCCTGACCCGGAGTGGGCATCTGGGAAAAGCCACACAAGATCTGAGACCACCCAAGTGGAACATTTTGCTTCTTCCATTCAAATTATGAACCGGTCCCCCTATAGTTGGAGCACACCCTTCGGTCTCCCTCCCTGCCAATGGGAACTGTCTCCTCAGGTACCGCCCCGTATCTCCACACAATGTTGGAGAGGTGTGTTAACCAAGACAGCTCTACAACATCCAGAACCTTCAAGAACCTCAGTGAACCTCATCCACCCGAGGAGCTCTGCCACTAAGCATTTGTTTAACTGCCTCAGTGACCTCACCCGTCCTGAAGGATGAGTCGCCCCCTCGTCCCCAGACTCTGCTTCCTCTATGGAGCATGTGTCCGTGGGATTAAGGAGGTTCTTTGAAGTATTCCTTAGTGTTCCTAAAGTAAGTAGTCCAAAATAAAATCTTAACATAAAGGATAAGTTGATGTTAAGATGAATGTGGGATTCTTGTACGTTCTTGTTACCATTTCCAGGCTGAAGAACAACCTTTGAATGTGCTACATCTGTGCCGCTCGTAATGCCGTCCTCTTTGGCTAACACTTTAGCTTCTTGCAGCTCTTCTTCAAACGCTGGCAGTTTTCAGAGCAGGGCTCAACTTTCATCTGCAGAATTATGTGACAAATACTTTTAAATTATGAAAGCTCAAGCAGCTATCAGCATAGATTTAACTTTGTGATGTTGACATTTTTCATCCTAAACAACTGTATTATACAATGAATGTCATGCAAACAAGATCACATGGAGTCATTTCACCTCTTTTAATGTTCATATTCTTTTCCATTAAGCCATGGCTATCAACTATGAAGCATTTTGTCAGGTGGATTTCACTTTGTCTTTGTCTGGTCCTTTCCACATTGTAGCAACATGTGTTCAGGACACTGGAGAACGACCCTCTGTTTGCCCGTCAGCCTGGTGAAGATGTCCCCATAGAGAAAAAGAGAGAGCTGAACTTTCTGAGGTATCTACTTGGTAAACTACAGCTGAAGTTATGTAGCACCTGTCGTGTCCTCTGTTCTGTAAGTCGGTACTTTCTAAAGACAGTAAAACTCCATATGAAAATTCACAG